TGTGTGTGTGTGTGTGTGTGTGTGTGTGTGTGTGTGTGTGTGTGTGTGTGTGTGTGTGTGTGTGTGTGTGTGTGTGTGTGTGTGTGTGTGTGTGTGTGTGTGTGTGTGTGTGTGTGTGTGTGTGTGTGTGTGTGTGTGTGTGTGTGTGTGTAGGGGGGCAGGTGGGACCACCATGGCACTGGTCCCCAGTAAATTTGATGAAATGCTTATATGACAGTTTAAAGCTAGCGTTGTGTAATTTTTACCAAGCAGAAACATTAAAACAAATCAAATGCGTCCTGATTCAAGAAATGTAGTCAAACAATTACATCAAAAAAAAGTTGAAGTTTAAAGCCACGAATGAGTTTCTGACTGCGACACACATCCAGACAGCGGAGATGTTGTTTTCGCATGGCTCTGGCCAGGAAGTATATATATCTATGTATCTGAAGCATGATCTTTGACACGGTTGACGACTGCAGCAGAACAGGATGTGGTCTAGAAACAGACAGGGCGTGACTGACTGGCTGTGAATGTGTGTGTTTCTCGTTTCCTCCCTCACTGTCTGAGGCTGAATGAAAAGCACCCAAATAAAGGCTGTTTACTTCCTCCTGAGAGAAGAGAAGGAGCTGCCTCACTCCGTCCTCCTCTGCTGCCCACCGCCATACCTCTCCCTCTCGCTCCCATCCTCCTGAATGCCAGGCTGATGAATGGCTCAGAGGGGGGAGGAGGAGGATGAAGAGGGAGGATGGGTGGCACAGTTATGTTCTGAGAACCCCTCTGTTTCTGTCCCATGGGCGAGATTGTGACGAGCTCGCCTGGGGTTTGTTTCTGTTTTCATAAACCACCGTTGATGCCCGGGTTTCAGCAGATGGGAGGACAATTGGACCCAACGGTGTTTATGTTTCAGGGCACAATAGGGGATTTTAAATAGATTTTAATAACACACACACAAAAGGCCTACTGCTCTGAGATGAAAGGTCAGACCAAAGCGTGCACACTTCTTTATTGTGCCCTAGATAAGGTTTTCAATTTGGCTCGTTGAGACTGTTTGTGTGTTTATGAGTTTCACAGTGTTATCGTTATAGTAGCATAGCTCATGCTACCAGCTAAAAGGAGCAGCGCACAGATACCGAGACAAAGTTGTTTAGGACTGGAACTGTTGTTATCAGTTAAACTGCAGATTCATATCTCTGTTTATATTTGTTCTCTATAACACAGAGCCAAAGGTCACGTCTTTTTAAATGTTTTGTTTTGTTGACCAACAGCACGGTTTACAATGATATACAAGGAAATTAGTTTGGATTCATGCATTGTTTGCTTTTTAAATGGTCATGTCCAACTTGAGATATTTAGGGAATATGAGGAAGGTTGTATTTTTTAAATTCCTCTCCTGAATAAAAATCCTGTCCATTTGCTCCAACCTCCCTGCTCCGTGCATCGCTGAAGTGTGTACATCCTGAGAGGGGGGATGAGCCTTGAATGTCTTTTATTATGTATGTATGGAGACAGCATGTGTATTTATAGCCTGTAACTTTGCGCGCGATATACACTAAGACGCCAGTCATCTGCGTGTCCATAGGAGAGATCGACCTCAGACTTGTTTGCACTCATATGAGTCAGCCTGTGTGTTTGTGTCGGTTTATTTGCTTTAGATTGGAAACATGAATTACACCAAAGGAGAAACAAATCCCGATTCAATTTGTTGTCTTTGCTCACTAGCAATAACTGGCGACGGCGGAAAAATATTTACTTCCTTTTGTACAAAGAAATGTGCTGTTCACTTTTCTTTTCAAATATTTTATTTATTAGAGGCATTTGTGAAAGAAGCTTGCCATTCTTACATAATAAGAAACTGTTTCAATGAGGACACCGTTTCACAAAAATGGTGTCAAATAAAAACAGAGAAAAAGGAAGACAGAGAAAACGGAAATAGACAATAATTAATTTTTTTTATAACCAGCTGCAGTGGGATTTTCAGTCAAAAGGCTTAAACCTGTGGTTTAAAGCGGCTTCTTAGGCCTGATTTCTGTTGCAGACACGGGACAACATCGGAGAATATTTCATTTAGTTTAGATTTTAAATAGTATAGCCATGACACTGAATATCAGCCACCATTTTAAATGCCCTTTTGCAGTTAACATCCAGCCAACAGAGGCAACAAGTATTCCTGGTGTAAACACGGCGTTAGTGCTTTGCAGTGGGAAACGCAGATGGAGCTCACGGTGGAAAAACACAGCTGCAGCTGAAGTGCATTTACTCTCCTCCGCCTGCGTTTGCCAGACTTTGTATGGTAATGTTCGATCGTGCACGTCTGCGGAGTAGAGTGGTGCCTGTTGTTGTCGGGTTTAACAGCACTCAGTCACTGAGAAGCACACAAAAACTATTTCTGCTCCATTAATGTGTCGGCTGCAGAAATGTCACATGTACTAAACCGGGCTCCGGAAATGGGTCATTTTAAAAGTTCACATGGTTGTGTGTGTCTAGAGCAGTGTGTTTGATCTGGTTAGTGGTTGTATGAACTGTGTGTGTGTGTGGCTGCAGCGGCAGGCAGACTGCTGGTGATTAGGAACAACAGGGCAGAGTTCAGCTGAGAGAGTGTGTGGAATGCTAATCCACATTGTCATAAGGCGAGCTTCAGCCTGACAAAGGGCTGGAGACGGGGGGGGGTGTGTGTGTGTGTGTGCGTGTGTGTGTGTGTGTGTGTGTGTGTGTGTGTGTGTGTGTGTGTGTGTGTGTGTGTGTGTGTCAGAAGCGGATAAATGGAGGTGCTTCATTATTAAAGATTAAGTAGTAGCAGCGTGGTGTATGTGTGTTAATAAAACAGGCAAGGTGGAAGGGACAAGCAATGAGGGGGGGGGGACAGCCGTGTTGAAATTTGCAAACGTTTGCACCAGTACACATTCATTAAGGAATAGAGCAGCAGGAATAATGAGTGTGTGGGCGGTGGGCGTTAAGCTGTCAACTGTCAGGTAAGCTGGATATACAGGGAGAGAAAAGCAACCATTAGTGGAACACACATATATGTGGATACACATACTCTTACAAACATACACTCTTTTGTTGTTTTTTGCACACACACAAAAACACACGCACACACATGCACTTACCTTTTAATGAGCTGCCAGTGGTCTCATCAGCAGAGTGTCTGCTGTCGTGGGGGTCATGCAGATGAAAGACCCCTGGATGACCTGCTGTTAATGTCGGTTTGGCCCCATCGCTCTACCCCCCGGTCTGTGTTTGCCTCGTACACACATTTGTGCAGGGGGGAAGACGTGACAGGGGTATGTAGGAGAGAGTGCCTTCAACACAAACACACGCACGCACGCACGCACGCACGCACACACACAGTCAGACAACCTTGATACTTGATGGAATCAAGCCAGTAACGACCAGGCTTGCCTTCACACCACTGCAGTGGGTTTATTGTTGTTTCTGTCAGTTCTCCTCCCTCCTTTCCTCTATCTATGCTCATGTCCCATCATCCCACACTCTCTCTCTCTCTCTCTCTCTCTCTCTCTTTGCCTCTCCTTCACTCCCTCCCTCCTTCCTTTCAGTGCTGCAGTGCTGCCTTCTGAAAGAAAAAAAAGGAAAAAACACCAACCACAAGTGCTCGTAAACGGACGAGCCCCCTCTATACACACACACACGCACACACACACGCACACACAGACACACACCTGGCTACACATATGGCGCCAGGCTATTACATCTGCATGCACATGCTCGTTCATCCATGGGCTTTGTAAATAAGGGACTATCCTCCACATACAGTACACACACACACACACACACACACACACACACACACACACACACACAAGTTTACTGGGACTAGCAGTGATGTTTTTCTTTCTTGTTGACTCAGAGTAGAGAAGCGAGCATCAGTGAATATTTGGTTCAGATCAAATAATGAATAAGATAGTTGAACGTTATATTGATTGTATAGCTGCTGCTAGGCGAGCGACTAACATAAATATTTCGGGGATAATATCTGTCTGTGACATGGTAATCGTGCCGATAACGTGCATGGTAAAGTCCTTAAGTATATCTGAAGGAAGGCTTTCTGTTTACTATTCACTGTGTCCTACTTTATATATATATATATATATATATATATGTGTATAATATGTCAGTTTGCTAGTTAGTCAATTATTGATGCTTTCTACGAACACTATCTCTCCTTCCTACTGTCGTTTCCTGTTTCTCCTCGTCCTTCCTTTTCTCCACTCTCACACCTCCCTCCTCCATCTCTCTGTCTGTTGTTGTGGGTGAACTGCAGGTTCTTATTGCGATGCTGCAAAGTCTTGGTCCTCTGGTGCGCGCGCGTGTGTGTGTGTGTAGTGTCAGGCCTGTCTGCCGCTGATAAGCATCAACTCCATCAGCTCGTGGCCTCTTGCTGAGTGTGTCCTGGATTTGGTCAAAAGACACACACTCACACACACTCACGAGAGGCAGCGCCAGCAGTATTTACTGAACACAAACGGCTCAGAGGGCAGAGGGCTGACACAATGAATCGTAAACATTCAACACGCAAATATGTATTCGCATTGAGAGAAAGGATGACTCCAACCGTGTTACATGTATACAAATGAATCACACGCACAGAGGCACATAATGACAGGCCTTGTTGTATCCGTGTTGACTATCATCTTGTTTTATTCATACGCCTTCCTCAGCGGGCCCATTCAGCCACTACTCTTATCCATTTGTATGCTGCCTTCATTTTCTCTGATGCTGTATCAATGCAGACTCGGGCCGTAGCTCACTCTTGCTGCGCACTTTCAATGCCATTCGTCTCCATTTGCTTTCTCTCGGATGTCATTTGTCTCTATTTCCTATCGTTTAAATGCCATTTGTCTCCATCTTACCCCTCGGTGACTGCGGTTGTAATTTTTGTTTTCTTCACCACTTTCGTTCCCACGGTGTCTGACAGACAGTGCATCATTTGAATTGTTCACTGTAACAAATACAATCTATCTGCTTGTTTTAACCCTCTTCTCTCCCGCTGTGTGTTTCAGAGGGCAGAGGATGAGGAGGAGGAGAGCCAGGTGAGGAAACCCCCGGCAGATCTCTGCTCCCCCAGCAGCAAGTTGGCCGAGTCCGACCCTGCAAGAAAGGTCAGTCGCCGTCTCCCTCCCCTTATCCATCAAGCCATCCCTCCATCACCTCCTCTCTTCCCCCTCCCCCTCCTCTACACACAGGTCAGCTCTCAGGGTCACCACCCACACACACTCCCTTCCTGACAGACACACCCCCTGCTCACCCATTCATAGCGGCACACTTCTCCTCTCTGTCAGGAAATAGTCATACAGCGGCTGCTTCTTCTTCACCTCCCCCCTGTCGCAGCACACACACCAACTTTACATACACACACACACAGGGAAGAAGCTCTATCATGATTACACACACTGATGCCTGGTGGATGATCCCTCATCCACATGTATGCATGCATATATTAGTTTTATTAGGTTATAGCTCCAAGAGTGCCATGTGCAGTACGGCACATTATATTCTCCTCGGGGGCCCAAAGCCAAAGCAAGTCAGGAACGTGTGTGTGTGTGTGTGTGTGTGTGTGTGTGTGTGTGTGTGTGTGTGTGTGTGTGTGTGTGTGTGTGTGTGTGTGTGTGTGTGTGTGTGTGTGTGTGTGTGTGTGTGTGTCCGATTGCCATTGTGATATCTCATCTGTTCAGCTGCAAAAATTGTATACAAAAATCAATAAATGTAGATGAAGATGCCATTGTGTTCCTTTGTATCTATAACACAATAGCTTAAAAGACACATGGTGCTGTGTTGTGTGGTACTGTACTTATGTGTGTGTGTGTGTGTGTTTCTCAGGGGAACACATCTCCACCTGCTCTGGTGTTCAATCGTCTTTTCTCTGACATCAAGGAGGAGCCAGAACACCCCTCCCTGGTCCATCCCAGGTACTACACCTTTCCTTTTGATTAAACAACACCAATAAGAACTTTCAGTGTTGAAAATAACTATTATTTTTCCTATTGATTTATCTATATATATTTGTTTTTAATAATTATTATTTCAAAAGAGATATTTGTGCATGTGTGTTTGAAAGTATCCACTCATTTCTAACTTGTGTTGAGTCTTGAGAAACGTTTCTGCACTTCTCTGATTATTGGTTCTAATAATGTTTCTTTGTAACATTAATGGTATTTATAGACAATAATAGTATAAAGTGCGTTATTGTATGCCAATGTTAAATATTTGACTCATTTGATGAAGAAATAGGACTAGCTGGATTTGTTGGTCAAAAGTGAGTTGTTAGAGAATATTAAAAGCACTAGTTTCAAAAAGCCCATTTACTTTAGGGAGTAGATTTTGCTTAAAACATCTATCAATACTTGAAGCTATTCCAGTTGGCCTGCTGTTATCTCTACATAGCTGCTGCCTCTGCCAGATACTGAAGGCCTGCTCTCTCTGCCCTTTGGCTTCACTGAAATAATTACAAAGCAAAGTTTACTTTCAGTTTCTGTTTCAGTGAATGAAATTCCCATCCCTAATTTCCCTAATTGGTGCTGCACTCCCTCCTCTGCTCTGTTCCTTCCTCATCCTCGCTCCTTCATCATGTGCCTCTCCCTCCTCTTCCCAAAGCTCTTGTTACCTCTCTTCTGGTTTCTTCTGTTCCTCCCACCATCCCTCCCCAGAGCACACCAGCTTGTGTTAGGATATGGCGCTCAGTAATCTGACCCAGATTAAAAACTGGATTTAGACGGTTTTATGGCGCCGTGGTTTCATATGACCGCCTGGACTTTCTGACTGTTAGGAGGCGCGCAGACGGCAAGCCTGACAAATTGGCATGGATTAGGGTTCTGGTCACCTACCAGCATCACATGACTGCCTCACTGTCAAAGCAGCCAGGACTTGCACAGACCAGTTTGCAGCTTTTGAATTGCAGCGTTACTAATAATGCACTGCTACACCCGAGCGCCGTGCTAGACATCCACAGCACTTAACGTCGTATTTGGGTTACAACCAGCATCCATTAGCGATACACTTGTCAAATACAAGCCAGGCTTACATTATTCAATCGCATCTTTCATGTGAAGGAATTTCAGATTCCCATTCAGGCGAGCACCTCCATCCAGAGGAGAGGATGCGAGGCTCGGTTGGAAGGTTTTTCCGGCCCCACCGAGCTGTCGTGCATAACCTAGTTCACAGCTCCAGCTCTGTCTGGAGGGGACTGCTGGTGGGGGAGGGGTTCAGAGCTTCACTCCACTCCTCTCCTCTCTTCCATCTGCTTCTCTTTCTCTCTGTCTCTTTCTATCCCTCTCTCTTCTCCCTCCCTCCCTCCCTCCCTCCCCACCATGCAGCCAGGAATAGACAGATAGTGTTGGCTCAGTGGCTTCAGTTCATCTCCAGGCACTATCTCTCTCAGTTGTATCCACTACCTGGACATTTGTGATAAGCCGAAAGGTCTGTTTAGGCTGAGATCCTGTGCACTCACGATAAGAAGTGTCCGTATTCCTCACTGTGTTTTCTGCTCTTCCCACGGAGCAGTTACTGTTGGTCTAAAACAGCCACCAAATGGTTTCTATTACTCTGATTCAGCTGTGCTTTATTGCTCTAGAGGTAAAGAGGCCACATGAGTTATTGCAAGTGTGTGTAGCTTTATGTATATCAGCAATGCAAAGTCCATAACTCGTAACATTTTACGATGTTTACTGCAAAGAAAGAAAGTATGTGAAAGGTGACACTGCTACCATTATGGTTAGAACAATAACAACTAAAGACAAAACCGATGTCTATTCGATATGCACAAGCAGCAAACTTGACCTTTTTGTCATTGAGGAAAATGTTGTCGTATATTTTAAGCATTTTTTTCGTATAGTAAAAGTACTGTATATGTATGTATTTGTTAAGTCAGTTCAGTGCTTTGATGTCTTCTTTCTCTGTCTCTGTCTCTCTCCCAGTTACTACGTGTACACATACGATAAGATGGTTGCTCCCAACGTGTCTCTGCAAAGGGAGGCGGAGATGAGCCCCGAGATGTTCGGAGCGCTGCTCAAACACCACTACAGCCGCAGAGCGCTGGGACACGACGAGCCGCCCATGGGTCAGTACTGACACCTGGAAACAGAGTGAACGTGCACTGACAAACCGAAATACATGTATTATACATAATGCACACATGCCATACCAATCCAGGTATTTCAATGACAAACACCGTCTTTTTGGTTTTAATTGATGGTCCTTAGAGGTCTTGATATTGGACGAGTGGGTCAGAGAGGCAACATTTGATCAAATGTAATTTCAACTTTCCATAATATTCCCAATGTATGTTGAGAATGATCATCCCTCTACACTGTGTATGGGATTCAATCGAGGTGAGCACTGAGTAAGTCTTGCCAGCCTTTCAGAAAATAATGGTCCTTACACTGCACTCAAATGTAATTATAAACAAAGAAAAAAAAAGTTCTCGTTACAGCAGTTATGCTGGTGTGAGTGAATAATGAAAAGAGGACAGCTGAAAAGGTGAAATTGCAGGAAATTGGTCCATTAAAGAATTAGCTTTACAACTGGCTAATACAACCTGTGTTTTTTGCACACGCTCTGCCAACATTACCCGACAGGAGATGTGAAACTTCATGTTCAGGAAAAGGGGTTGGGATATTTCAACACATTATTCCTTATAGAGTTATTGCCTTTGGCTCCTGGAAATGAAAAATGATTGATAGTCAACTACCGTATATAATGTATTCAATATGACCGATTTTAATATAAATATTCATTTTAACTTAAATAATAAATCCTCCTGTGTGTAAACTGTGTGTACATTAGACACATAAACACAGCTGACACGTGCCAACTATAAATACATGACACGCATACAGCGAACCATTTACATACATGTAACATAAGCGGAAGAGACATGCAGATCATGTTTAGCAGACACGTGCTCACCGTAAACATACAACCTACAGTAAACTGGCATCCGACACACACACACACACACACACACACACACACACACACACACACACACACACACACACACACACACACACACACACACACACACACACACACACACACACACACACACACTCTCTCTCTCACTTTCACACACACACACACACACACACACACACACACACACACACACAGACACTTTACATAGCATCCTGCAGCGCTGTAACATAATCATGCATTGACCTTCACGTAAAGACTCTGCGGGCACCTCAGTATTGATGAACGAGAGGAGTGGAAGTGGCCATGACCTCTCCTCTGCACTGTGTGTGTGTTTTTGTGTGCATACTAAAAAGTGTATATGACTGCATTACTAAGAAATACATATCTGCTGGGGGAATACAGCTTTGCTCATCGAGCTCCTAAAATGCAGAACAAGCTTACCTCGGTTTTATCCTTAAGGCATTTTAACCTTTGAGTATATTCCTAATTTAAAGTTGATACATTTTCTTTAAATGTGGTTGCTTTATTTAAAGCTTTTTTATTTAACTTTTTCGTAATTTTAGCTTCTAATTTGTGTTTCTTAGTGCTAGGATTTAAACAAGGTCTCTGCCTCGATGTATTTCTTATTTTAAATACTGTATCTATAGCTATACAGTTTATATAGAGAGATATGTAGAGAGAGAGAGAGAGAGAGAGAGAGAGAAAGTGGGAATGATTTCCGTCTGCCATTATTACGCCATGTCTGATTGCCAGGCTGCGTCTCGTATCTCTCGGGCGTTCTGCTTTCCTTTTCCCTCTCCAACCAATCTGTCTCTCTTCCCTCCGTCCTCCCTCTCTTTTTCCTGGCAGCTTTTTTCCACATCCTGCCCGAGTCCGTCCGCCCTCCCACCCATCCATCCTCTTTTCTTCTCTAGCTCTTTCAACTCCGCCTCCCTCACTGTCTGCTGTCACTTTTTCTTTCCCCTCCTCCACTTCCTCTTCATCCTCTTTTTCTCCTCATTGAATGCTTTCCTCCCCCCAGTCTGTCTGTGTGCCTCTCCCTTTCTCCTTCTCCTACTTACTTTCTTTTGATCCACCACCGAATGACCCACTCCCGTTATTTGTGTGCTTCTACTATTGTGTGTGTGTGTGCTTTGCAGAGTATGTGGGTTTGTGTATGCGCACGCCGGTTTGAATGAGTAAATGAGAGTCCTCTCCGGTGCCAGACACGCTGCGTTCAGAGCATGCTGTTTCCTGTCACACATATACCGAGTGAATACATTACTCTGGGAAACAAGTTACTGTTCTCATGTTCCTTTTTCCTCCTCTCCCTCTGTCTGTGAGCCTCTACTGTCACACACAGCATCATTACTAGCCTACACATGTCCCGCTGCAGCATCTGTGCACATGTGTGTTTGTGTGAGGGAGTGACATGGCCCGTTTGATCCTCTTCTCCATGATGCACACATTTAAAGGCAACAGGGAGGGAGCGAGCCAGAGTTTGAACAGAGGAGAAGCCCACGCAGAGCAGCTCCCACACAAGTTCCTTTATTCCTCTCTGTTCTTTCTCACTGTCTGAGGGTGCACACACACACACACACACACACACACACACACACACACACACACACACACACACACACACACACACACACACACACACACACACACACACACACACACACAGTTTGTGTTTGGTAACTCTGCTGTTGCCATGCTTGTGCTCGCGCTCACACTGAGAAAGAGGTGTGAGCTTTTATAAGGTTGTGCGAGGGTGTTACTAAGCGTAGGCGGGAGTATGTGCCTGCTCGGCTGGCACTTCCTGTCTTTCAACCACCTACTCTTCTTCTTTGTATCTTATTTTTAATATTTTTTTAAACTCTTTCCTCACCCTCCTCTTCCTCCCTCCTCAGATCTTCACGCGTCGCCTCCCGTCGCTGCTTGCGCCGAGGAGACCAAATCCCATCGTGCCGTTGCTGCCTCGGCCACAGAGCGGGAATGCCAAACCCAGGCAGTTTCCATGGCGACAAGCAGCCCAAGCTGCAAGAAAGCCACCCACACCCCCGCCCACTCCCCTCCTCCTGCTCCCACTCCTGTGTCGTTGTTGTCGCCGGTAACGGAAGTAGCGGTTAAGGACACGGGCTCTGCTGCGAGCGGCGCTGCAGTGGTGGGGGGGGTGGAGGACGACAAGGACAGGATTGTGGTGGAGATCATGCAGATGTACGGCAGGCAGCAGGAGAAGCTCAACTCCACCCTGCACAAGCAGCTGCAGCTGGAAATGGTGAGTTGGCAGTCAGAAAGAACACAAGCCCAAGATCAATGAGACCAGAACTGTCCTACTGCCTATTGAAGTGTCCTTGATGCAGATGTGGAGGTGATGACCACCTTCACCCAACCCTCCATCTTTTTCTCCTTTAGCTGAAAAGATATTAAAGCTCAAAGGTCAAACACCACCCCCATTCATGTTAATCAAAACTCAGTCACTGAAGCGTATTGTAAAATATTACGTTTTTATGTCAGCTTTGACACACAGTACAGAAACACAGTTGATCTATATTATAGTGATGTTTGCATCTACTCGTCCATGTTCTTTTGTATCGAGTAACTCACCAACGGGATTTCAATTGCATTTCAGATATTAACTTTTAGAAAATATTAGTTCAAAAATGTTTAAAATAATAAAGCAAAAACAAATAAAGATACATTTAATGTAAATACATAAAATCATCATTATCTTTCCTCTTTTCCACTTTTTGGCCTGACATCCATATCCCGGTGAATGTCTCAGAGATCACATGAAGGGTTATCTGTCTTCACGTATAGATAGCATGCACTGCAGGGCTGTAGGATATACTGCTGTTGTGTTATCAATGACCTGACCTCCATGAGGAGGGGCATCTTCCTCTACAGGGTCAATGATATATCACATTGCTGTTATTCCTCTAACTTAGTCTCTGTGTCTTCAGGAGCTGGAGGCGGTGCGTGGGGGCGAGGCGGCCCGGCTACGAGAGCTGAGCGCCGAGCAGAGGGAGCTGCGCTGCGAGCTGGAGGCCGTGCACAGCGAGCAGGCGCGACAGCTCAGCCAGGCCCGCCAGGAGCAGCTGGAGCTGGAGACCCGTCTGGAGCAGCTCCGGCAGCAGGCCTGCGCCTGCGAGCCGGGCGCTCAGCGCCAGCAAGAGGCCCACTACACCGCACAGGTACGACTGGAACAACGACTGTCACATACAGTCTGAATCACAGCGACACGCACAGTCTGAATAAACATATGCCTTTTTATCCCAGACGTTACAGTGCCACGCTACAATCAATCTCAATGGCAGTACTTTCAAGGAATTTACATCCATTTAATTCCCTTTGCTTTCAATGTATTGCCATGGATTTTAAACTTTGAAACACATTTGCCTTGAGTCATCGCTGAAAGGATGTTAGCATTGTACTGCAGAATATTCAGAAAAACACTGAGGCAATACAATGTAAACATCCCTCTGTAAGTTGTTATAGTAAATACAAGCAGTCTGTTTGGACTAATGGAGGTATATTCACCGTTCAAATATGTTAACATTTACTTCTAAATCTGCCCATCAGAGATGTATATATACGAATATTTAGATCTCATACACACCACCCCCTTTTTCACTCAGGATAGTCAGAGAGTGTTTTCTACCAAAACCTTGAGAGCGGAGATGTGGTCACAGCCTTCCTATGATTGAGAGTTTCCCTGCTGAATCATTTTCTGCTTATGCGTGTCCTATATGAGTCACTGTGCTTTTAAGGAGTGTGGAAGCGCACACACACACACACACACACACACACACACACACACACACACACACACACACACACACACACACACACTCAGTCTTTGTTTGGGTTTCCACCAGCCTTAATCTGTAGATAGGTTTTGTTATGTTGGCCTGAGCTACGCTCGGCAGTAGCCCCCTCCTGTCAGTCACTGAAGCTGCCCCGCCCCCTCCCCTTGGCATCAAACTCAGGATGTCTGCCAGTTAGTTAGGAAATGGGATGGGGGTGTGCATGTGTTTGTGTTGTTGGCCTGGAACTACACATGGTGTGAAGCAATTTCACAGTTTTTCGCAGTAAAAACAGAGCGGTAAATGTGACAGGAAACGTAAGCTACAAGAATGTCCTTTACATTTATTTTTGTTAGATATTTAAATCACACATTAGTATCATGAGTGCTCTGTGCTCTCTTTGGCCGGCAGCAGCACGCTGTAAAGATAGCTTCTGTAGTCAAATGATAACAAATATGACCTCTGATGAAGCCACAACACTGAGGGTCATTGTCTCTCCAATCAGGATGTGACTTTTTTTGTTGTTCTTGTCTTACTGTATTTATTTTGTTTTGGACAAAACGAAAAGTTTTAAAACGATTTCCTGTACATTTTGAGTTGTCTTACATGTATAGTCATCACAGAGAGGCAAAATCACTTCAGGCTTTTGAGTATTCTGCGGCTGCTACACCTCCAATAACATGAAGAAACCGTTTATTTCTCAAAGCTCCAGCGAAGTGTGATTTTGCTGCCATATGTGTTGGACTATATGTCCTTTAATGTGCTGCGTAGACCTCATGCCTGTCTCTCTCTGTTTCCTCCCAGTTGTCGGAGCTCCGTCAGAGGCTGGAGCGGGCGGAGGCCGACCGGCAGGAGCTGCAGGAGGAGCTGCGCCATGAGCGGGAGGCGCGGGAAAAGCTAGAGCGCACAATCAGCCAGCTCAAGCAGCAGATGGTGCAGTCTGCCACGGTGGGAGGCAGCCCCTCTCCTCCTCTTACCCCTTCAACCGGACCCCCTAACGCCCACTCCCCACACTCCTCCTTCTCAGAGGCCCCAGCGGCTGGCCAAAAGTAACTGCCACCCCCCCTCAGGCGCCTCCCTCATTCATCTCCCCGTTACCCGCCAACTCTACAGACACAAACAGCCTGAAGCTGAACGGCTGTTTTGAAGTTGAGCATCTCCCCCTTGCCTCCAGTGTAGGACTGACTTTTGATTTTGTAATTTAACATCACTTAAATGTTGTGTTTTTTTTATTTTTGCTTTCTTTTGCTCCCCTATCCTGTCTTTAAATTGTATTTAAAGATGTTTTTGGGGCATGTATGTTTGATTTAATTTATAGTTTTTACTGAACAAACAGCTGCTTCACAGACGGGAGTTTGGTAGAGACAAACTCAACCCATCATGATTTCCCCCTCACGACTGTCTCCCTCCTCTCCCACCCGTCTCTCTGGATTCTGGAGCTCATGCCTTGGAGATTTCAGACTCCAGCCCGGACACACAGACTCGTCGTGCTACTACCTGGCACAGCAGCCGGTGCCATCGGACACAAAATGGCGCCCGGTTGCATGCCCCTTCTCCATCTCTCTCTGTACCTACAGCCCAAACACTCGAGTACCAGCGACTGCAGGAAACTGCATGGACATTTTAATACAGTTTTGTTTTGTTGCTCCTTATAAAACACAGAAAGAAAAAGTCTAATATGTCAAATACATCAAATCTATATGGAGGAGAAAGACCTTTACTGTACAAAAAAAAGACCTCATGAAAATATGCCAATTGTGACGCTGAACTTGGAATGAGTGTTTTGAGTGGGACCCTTTCAAGGTAGCTAGCTAACTCTTCTGGCCTGGACTCCAGCTGCTCCTCACACCCTTTCCTCTTCCCTCTTCCTCCGCTGTATGCTAGCGATTGCCCTCTGCTGGAAAACTCCTTAACACTGTGGTTTTCACCCACTTTAGGCTAGACAGGAAACACTGTGCTCTTTTCTTGGCTTGGCTTGGAAGAAGCTCACGAGCGGTGTTATGCACTTAACACGCTCTCCTCCCCCAGAATCCCCTGGGAGAGGAATGTGTCGGGACTCGGGGGGCCGGTTGTGTAGCTTTTCTAAGAAAGAGGGAAGTCTCACATGTGCAGTAGCTAGCTGCACTGTGTTACCATAATAATACATGCAACATCCCCGAGTGTGTCGGTGCAGAACAACGGGGCAGAGGATCAAAGCTCCGGGCTGTCCCTGTTTTCGGGGGTCCTCTTTTTGTATCGTTTGACTTCATTGTCAACAGACGTTTTTTATGCAGCGCCCCGGTTTGTCAGAGCTTCATCTAGGAACGTGGGTGGCAGGTGAAAGCCGTTAGTCTGCGGTGGTTTGGGTCTGGCCCCCTGCTTCACGTTATTCTGCCTGGCTGAACAAACAGCACCGGCAGGAAGGGGAGGCGAGGATTGAGGGGAACTCGGGGGGCACTGGTGCTTTCCCCCTGTTGCAGGCTGGGTGGCCGAGACGCCAGGGGGACACGGGGAGCCCGTTTTTTTGTTTTGTACCTTTTTAGAATGGGGGCAGCTGTTGTTGCCTGTGGGCCTCTGATCGCCCTCCACTGAGACGCCAAACTCTCGAAAACCTCCCTCCCTCGTCCTCTCCCACAAAAACAACCGTCACTCACTCACACAGACCCGTCCGTCCATCCCCAGCGCCAGATCAGCCGGGGGTGTGCCCTTTTTTGTAGGAAAGCGAGCAGACGTCCAGCCAGAGGAGGAAAGGACTTTTATTGTGTCAGTTGCCGGGCAAAAGCGCTTTTTATTGCCACTAAGGAAATCCCTGTACGCGAGTGTGTGTGTGTGTGTGTGTGTGTGTAAGTGTAAATAATTGTTTAAAAAGAGAAGGGGATCGGCCTCAGTTCGACTCTGAGCTTTTTTTATGCATCTGCTATAAATGCAAATTGATAGACATTCCACTGTGCTCCATCCTGTTCGATGCAGATTTTCTTACACAGCTTCCCTTTACGATAGCAGAGCCTGAAGAGCGGGCCGAGTACAGCTGTGGTTTGTTGATTGTCAGAAAAAGCAGGTGCAGGTGCAAGCCAGTAAAATCAAACCCACGCCGCAAATGTACACTCTACTGTTCCATTTAAACCTTTATTGAAATTATGAAAGAAAATATTTAACGTATTAACTAAAGATTTATATTCACTTTGTAAATACAGTAGTCATTAATATATTAACTGTTCTTATATGAAAAATCTTCAAAAGGTTATATACATTGGACCAGAACTAAGGCTTCAGATGTTTTAGCTTTCTTTTCTTTTCTTTTTTAAGTGATCAGAAATTGGCTTTTGTCGAGTTGATGTGGGGGGAGTGAAACATGGTTTACTGAGACGTGATGCAGGAAGAATGCAAAATAGGAAAATAATACTTTGTTACACACTTTCCCCCCTTTTTCTGAAATGATGCATTTGTTTTCTTTTGTGGATTTCATCTTGACCGACTGTTTAATGTGTAATGTGACAAGCTTTCCCCTCCTTGTTAAACCCCCCTCTCCCATGAGAAGAATTGAAAATGAAAGATTTGCTTAAGAAAATGCATTTTTGAAAAAACAAACCATTTTTTTTTTTTTTGCATGTTTGGCTGCCCCTTATGTTTTGTGTCACTGGGCCAATCTTACCAATCTGTTAATCGTAAAAAAAAGAAAGAAAGGAGATGTCCCCCCCCCCCCCCCCCCCCCTCACGTAACGCACAAACTATTGAGACGGCTCATATGCATGAACATTGAACATGTGCAAGTTTTATATCATTATTGGTTTAGAGGTTGGCTAAGTATAACGTCAGATTATGAAGAACATATAATGTAGCCTAATTTGATTTGGAAATGATGTGTGAGTGTGTGAGAGAGAGAGAGAGTGTGTGTTGGCCTCCCACGTCTGACTGAAGCACAGCAGCTTTGAAAAGGGAAAGAAAAACTTGCTCATGTAGCTCTGGATGTGTAGTTATTGTTTCTGATTCTGATCATGTATCCTTGTGTGGATCACCCCAAAAGATAATCAGTATTAGTTTTTAATGACTTAATTACCTCTTCGGCAGAACAAAACAAATCCTTTCAATTCATCACATTAGCAGATAACTAATGTTTACTCTAATCGTGTAATTAGAATTTTGTACACAAGGGGGCGTTAAGCTTCTTTAATAATACAACATATTGAAAAAATGACTAAATGAAAGGGGAGAAAAATCCCCTGTAACAGGTTTGCTGAGCCTTTTTGCATTTTGCAGTGTTATGAGAACTTGGATATGCTTTGTACAGAATTTTTACAGCTGTGTGAAGTTTGCCCCACAGACGAGAAAAACAAGGCGAAATGAGCAGAGCTTTACCATGTGGACACATTTGAATACTGGATTTACATACCCATAATGCCTCCTGGCTACGTGGAGAAAACTTGTAAAAAAAATCCTTAGTGACCTTTGAACTATTCTGCTTTGTAGTTGGGTGTGTAATTTTCAGCAGGTAATTATTCTATGCCAGTGTGGGACAAGAGGGATGTCTGCATTGATCACACAGATTCCTGCTTACTAAGAATAGGGACGCCATGTTTTAAATTGATATACATCCTGCTATAGATGAAAAAAAAGATTCATGGCTTTGCTAAAAAGACCCTCTTTCCCCTTGATGCTGTTCTGAAACACAGCGTCTGTGTTTGACCATTGCATACTACGTTGCCAATACTACAGTGTGATGAGACTTTTGTTCTTGCATGAATCGAGACACTGTTCTCCTACCTCATGTTGTGATATAAAAATATGTTTTTTAAGCAGAAGACACTGCATCTCTGTTTATCATCATTGATATTTACTAGTAAATTACATACCTGTAAATGCTTTTAGCTAATACCTCAGTTGTATCTAGTGTTTTTCTTTCTGTTTTTGCCCTTCCCTGATTTCAGATCTTGTAAATATTCCCTGTATAGACAATGAACTTGGATCAAATTCAAGTAAAGTTCTGTAGTGTCAAACCAGTTGTCTTTTGCCTTTTTGATGCACATCATGTCCTCCTCACTTCCTTTTTGTCTAAAGTTTCACACATTTGCACAAAATTCACATTGAAAGCCATCAGCAAGCTTCTGATGCGGTTTTAACTTCAGTAGTTTTGTCAGGGTTCTTACGGTCATTACAAACCTGGAAAAGTCATGGAAATTCAAAATGCTAATTCAAGGCCCTGGAAAAGTTATGGAAAACAATATTTTTCCCAAAGTTTTGGAAAAGTCATGGAAATGTAACTAAAGTTGCATCAAATATAATTTATATGTTATCTAATCGCCGAAATAGTAATACTATAATGATAATA